TTGAATAAATAATGATTATAGTGAATATTAACATTAAGATACATGTTAGTGGTTTCGACGACTGGAAGAAAGATTATTTGAGGGAAGCTGATTAATATTCGCGAAGGAGGGAGTTAAGATTCGAAATAAATAGCAGTTACGTAATGGTGTGAAAATGCTATCTAAACAAAACAATAAATGGGTTCAGTAAATTACCGTAATAACAAGAAATACAGGAATGATAAAATAGTAGTCAGTATCAATATAAAGGTATTACAGTTTTGGAAAAGTGAGACAGTGAAAGTCACCAATTAACCAGGACAATAATAAATTCTAGGGGAAACCATTGCAGTGTAACGGATTTAACAACTAGAAGTAAGCATGAAGTTTTTGTCTGTTAAATGCTATGAAGAAATTCACTGCATCTTTTTGGTGCTGCCTATCAAACAGGTGATAAGCTATTGCACTATTGTATGACAATGAACTTGTCAGACGTAGAGTGTGAGGTGCATGCTTGGAAGTCCAGTAATCAACCGCCTACATGTCCAATACACTTACCTCCACACGCACAGGTGAATTGATAAATGGATTTGAAGTTAAACATAGTTGACATTTTGTCTAATCTGACTTGTGTGGTTGCTCACGTTGTTCGATACATTGAATCATGTCCTACAACCGGATAGATCTTAAAGAGAACACTCCTAATTCGTCTGTTGATTCTTGCCATAATATCATCTCCTTTGAAAGCCAAAGAAAAAACATTGGTTTCTTTTCAACATCATCACTGTTCTGTCTCCCTTCCTTAATTTGCCATATGCATGCAGGGGCTTCATGGGATAACAGTTAACAAACAGAGATCTTTCGACTAGCTCAAGTCGTTCCTGTAGATTTTGTACCTTTGATAAAGCCTCTTCACTGAAACTCTTCCTAGTCGACTGGGCAGAAACTGTTAAAGTTTAATTACCAGCTGCTCAGGGCGATTTTGTGGGTAATGTTCCTCTCTTTTTGACTATGTTCTTCATTTTCTAAGCATCAGTCAAAACAAGTGATTCCAATATAAGTTCAGTACTGTAATTTGCACTTCTGAAATGTTCCAGCATCTTCTTTGCATACGGAAAGTCTTCGTAGATAATGAAGGTAACGTCAACAAATCTTAAATAAAATAAAGCTGTAATGACCGCATGTTTTTGGCAGTGTTTTCTAAGTGCCACATATAAATGTCTACCATTAATATCCAAAGTAGGTTCCCCGTGGTCACACCATAAACTTCGTTATATGTGAAACCGACAAACTGATACAGGACATTTTTGGTAGTAAATGATAATGTCGACTGTGTGGAGAAGAGGTATCCTAGTGAATAAAGAGGTTATGTCATATGACACAATGAATTTGTCAGACAAATTAGGTGTTGTATTCTTTCAGCGTAATCCAAAGAGTTTTTCTAAGTAGTTTTTGCAAATCTTTTCTAACTTACTTGCTAACCAGCAGGAAAGCTTGTGCTGTGGGTTGTTAAAAGTAGGTAGAATATGTCTGGTTGGCTGATCAGCTTCATTTGCTTCTGGTTTTCCAAACACAAATAGCGAACGAAATTATCTGAGTCAAATTTCTTGTAGGCTTCATTATTATTCACCTTTCTTTTGAGTAGTTCACCAAGTTCATTTGCTTTTCAACTGTTTTTGACATATCTTTGTTGCTGTCGTCCATCCTTAATCGTAAAACATCATCCAGCGTTCAATTCGTTCAACTGATATGGATCTCCTTACTCGCTGCATATATATGTGTATATATAAAATACAACAAATAACATCTTTACTATGAGAATTAAGTGGAATGTTCCAGTGGTAACATTGTCGTGTATCTTTCGGGTTTAAAGGCAATGAAAGTTGCAAAGCAGGATAAGATACAATAATAGGGTTTACTAAAAGTCAGCTAAAAAAACGTTTGACACCAAACACAGTGCACCTAAGTAATAAATAATTCAGCTTGACAATCGCATTACACTTACAGTAATATACTGTTTACTGTTTGGTGCGAAATTTGTAAAACAGTTCATTTAAAAAAAATTTATTACACCTTGAAATAATTATGTATTCATGTAAACTAGTTTGTCTGGCGAAAATGATCTTAGCTCTTTCACAATTCATATGCAAAACACAGGATTTGATGATTATTCTGATAAATAAACACTGACTTGCAAGTGTCTGGTAAGTTTCTACGCTTATTCACATACTCATGTAAACAAATACCACGCAAAAGGTAAGTGAATGAGTGCTTATTCATTTCCCAATTGATATATATATATATATATATATATATATATATAACTATTTTCCTAAACTCTCTTTTTCATCAAATATCATCAACAAAATGTCAGACTAAACTAGTCTAAAAAGTGTGTAGCGAAAGTGTAAATAATAGAGGGAAAATTAATGAATGGGAAAATGAAGTTTTTAACTTAACTGAAATGTTGGTTGAGTATCACTGAAACAGAATAAGTGGCTTCCTAGTTAGTCAACTATGTGCTCGGAATTGATGACTGAAAACGAAGTAAAAACCTAGTTAGCTTCAGGATGAAAACCATCGGCCTCTGAGTTACCGACCACCCGGTGCTCTGTTGTGTGAACTTTCAGATCCAGATCCTGACAAGTTCTTATCTTCCGCAAAGGCACTAAGAGATTTGTTCGGCTGCCAGGCCACAGCTGCCCAAATCCTCTCCCTGATTATCGAATAACTCTTCATTGTTTCTGATATAATGAAGAACACAAAAAAGTGAGGTCAACTCATTTATGTGGTTTTAAACAACAGAAAGCACAATAATGAAGAAGCGCAGACAGAAACGGTACCTCATAGAAGCACTGACCCACTTGACTGACGTTAGTGTTGAAAATACAGAGATCGTTCACGCTTTATGCTGAGTAGAGTGGAGTGAAGTGGAGTGAAGTGTAGTGCAGTGCAGTGCAGAAGGTCTCCACACTGATTTCAGATTATTGAAGGCAGGCATGTCTTCCCATCTTCCCGATTCTGGCTGGCCTTCACATCCTCATCTCCGCCTGTGCCACCACCGGTAATTGAAACGATGTTGCCTTGGGAGGTAGGTGAAAGATACCACTTCCCCTACGTTTCTCCCAGTCATGGTGATTGGTGCTTGTCTCTCTTCTCCCTCTTCTTCTTCTTCTTCTTCTCCTTGTCATCCTTGTTGTTGGTGTCGTTGGTCGGGTATCTTTATCACACCCGTCTTCTCTAAGTTACCTGAAGGAAGTCCCATCTTCCTTCGCTGCCTTCCCTCCTCTGACAACTTATTAGTGTTTCCTTGTGGATCTTCATACTTGTGCGACATTAGACATTAGACATAAATCATCATCGGTGGCGAAATCCAAATCTTCTTCTGGTGTCTTCTCATCGATACAGCCAGTCTATATCCCTCTTCTCAATCCTCACAGTTTCTTGCATGATACAGTCCAGTCAAGTCAAGTCAAGTCAAGTCCAGTCGACCACAATCAGGAAGATGATGGGTGGTGTTAGTAGATGGCGACCTCGTCTTTCTCCTGTCTTCACTTCAAAGGCAGCACTGAACATTCCATTGTGAATCACTCGACTGGCATGTAGAATCATTTAGCATAGCACAGCATAACATAGCACATGACTGCTGTTCAATGAACTTGATGAGGTTTTGTGGCACTGAAACCACAGTGTTGAAGCAGCTGCCTGTCAAATCACTTCTCAGTCGACGCAGTCGAACTCCTTTTCAAAGACGATGGAACTGAGGTTGATTTGTTCTTCCTGAAGCAAGCCAGTCCCTTCCGGTCATAATCCAGTTGAATTCAGTGCATTTCTTATTCTCTGCTGGATGACGTGGCTTAATATTTCGCTTGTGAGTGGTGGACACGAGTGGAGCATGATTCCGTGACAGTTCTTGCAAACACACAGCTTATGTCAGCCTTAATTGATTGTTTCACAGGGTAGGCCTTCTTCCAATCAATCGACAGCCACCTCTCCCATCTTCCTTCCTTCCTCCCTTCCTCCCTTCCTTCTTTCGAAACCTTGTACAATAGTGGTGTCAGCATGTCCTCTGCTAGTGTCTTCATGTTTGTTTCCAGTGCTTCTGGTGGAATTCAACTCTGGTACTGCTGCTCCTTTATGGATTTCAGTAACTTCATAGCATTCAGGACTTCACTCCTGCTTTAGTCGGAGGGTTTGCATTGACTGACAGTTCTGTGGTTGGGTTGGTGGTGGTATTTCTGGATGAGTTGTAGGTGGTGATGGTGGTTGAATCAAGAGTTTTGTGAAGTGGTCAGCACATCGTTTCCTTCCCTTCTCCTCTCTCTTTACTATCTAACTTCCCATCACTATCTTTCATTGGTTTCATCTGTCTTCATCTCTCCCCTCTTTAATGGTAATCTGGTTATTTGATACAGTGTTGTCAGATCTCTGTCTCTCCTACCTGCATCCTTTTCTGCTTCACTTGCGAGTGTGTCAAAGTGTATTTTATCTTTCCGCGCAACATTTTTAGTATTACCTTTTGAACTCTGAAATATATTGTTTAGCAGGACAAAGGTTTTTAGATGCATTAATGTTAACCATGTTGAGATTTTTTTGTTTTCTGGAATTTCTGTTAACAGTCATTTTAATTTATTGCCTAGTGTCTTCATCAGAGAAGTGGCTGCGATTAAGTAAATGGGCTTAAGAGCACGTCAGCATTTACTGCTTATGGATTTATTTTAATCCTGCACGTTGGTTAGTATTTGAATATGTGCTAATATTTTTAATTTCTTTGCTTGATTTCGTGCCTGCATACCTCTTTGATGATACTGGAATAACTTGATGTCTCGGAGGAAATTAAAATAGCTGCCTACCAACAGATCGACTGAGATTATATTTCAACCTGACTCACATCCTGAGTTAAAAATATTTTCAGCTAAGATTAACCAATTTCATGTAGGTGAAATAATAACCTGTCATCTGATGATTGGTTGGTTGAAACTAACCTATTCTTGTGTCGTTTTCCTTTTCCTTATTTGTAGGACATACATTTTGTTTTCTAAAGAAAACTAGAAAAAGTGTTCAGAGCTTGTGCTTTCAATCAAGATCACTTCCATTTTTTGTGAACATGGTCATCTTCCTTCGATTTAACACTAAGTACGAAATCACAATCAAAAACACTGCAACTGTAAGTCTTCTCTCCTCTATACATTTTTACCGTTTTATACCCTGTGTAGTTGGTTTTTGCAATATAGATACAGATTATTAGCATTATAGCTAGACTTAGCACAGCGTTAAAAATCCTACAAATGGCCCTTCAAGTCAACGAAACACAACAAAGTAGAATAATGTGACCAAATCACCACATATGGAATACACTGTCATATCGTTTTGTAGACTCGCTTCAGGTGCATACAAACTTTACAAGAAATCACAACGAATAAATTTAGGAAATTCAATGAACACACGTTACATGTTAAGTTATAGTGTCTTGAGTTCAGAGTGAGAACTTGAATAGATTTATAGCCTTATTAGGTTTGCATTGTTTACTTCTGTCTACTCTAGCTAATAATACTAGTTAATCCACATACTACAGTATTACTATTGATTCAACCATTATTCGTTTTAAGACCCGTCCCCACTTACTATATTGGTTACCCCAAAAGTGTTCACACTACTACGTAACCATATGGTAGTACTAATATTTTTTTGCCTATTCTAGAACATTCGTAAACTTTACTCCTACTTCACTTTGAACCACTATCAAATAATCTTTATTTCTTTCTTTTCACAACAATGCAAGTTTCAGTCAGTGATAGAATATACAGTCAAGTAACTGAGTCATATTCGCAGTGACAAAGGAATGGACAGTTTAAGATCGTACAATTTTTGAGATCCAGTAATAACTGAGCCTGGTTCTTCACTGTTCTATAATCAAGAAAACATTGGTTCCAGTTGTTCTAAAAACAGCTATGAGTACACATGTATTTCCCTGCATTACCAAGACTAACAGTCTAAGACCTTATATACTGCCTCTGTTTCTTCATCTTGTCTTACCTAGCCACTTATCAACCGAGTCATTTAAAAGATAGAATAAAGTATTGTAGACGACAGTAGCTCTACGTGCACCCCAATGACTGCAACAGTGGCCGCTATTGAACAGTCAAAGCGGCAAAGCTTGGATCATCCATCCTGGCCATGGAACAGGTTTTTGGAAGCAGTCATCAATTAACTCCGTTACCCTGTCAATCTTCAGTTGAACAAGTAGACAATAAGGGGTGAAATACCCAGCTGCAGGCGTTTAACCATGGCAAGAGAAATGCTGACATTATTTGGGCGATGGTTTGGAGATACGGTTGGCCAAAACGGGATAACGTGGGCATAACACTCGATGCCGTCCCAGCTTATGAGGTGACGGTAAATATTCGGAGGCCTTGTCCCAGTGCATGACTTGTTGCGTATACCGTTTTCCTACGTATGCGCATAATTGAAAACCGTCCTTATGGTCGGTGACGTTTGGTCTACCTGATAAACTGGAGAAGGCCTAGAAAAACAAAATAGCTCCATATGCACAATACATGTCTTAAAGTTCTTGGATAGCATAGGTTCATAAGCTTTGGAACTGACATATATACTTTTTCAGTACTGAGCCAGTTATCTGTGAACTACTCACTTTTGAATACGTCAAACACGAACAACACTCCAGAGATAACAATATTTGGATGCTTGAGACGATTTTCAAATGCTGTTCATAGATTGTCAACATATTATAAGCATATATTTTGATAAAGTGTACTTCCATGTTTTACAGTAGGCCATACATTGAATCAACTCAGATGATGTAAAATGCCCCTAGGTTGGAAGAGGGTTTAGGGTGGTCAGACTAAGATGTGGCACCGGTCCATGAAGTCCATGACTGTTGGTCTGAGTCGTATGGGTAGATGTAGAATAGCTGGCTGTGGTCACCGAGACGATGGGAATCAGTGTTTGAGGACCGTTGGTGAAACGGTTCAAAATCAATCATGATGGCTCATATATACTCACTTTTTGACAACTTGCCAAGCTTCAGTATTTGCAGTAACCTTTATCTTGAAATTCCCTATTCTCTCATTTAACTTCATCTACCTTCATATCACTGTTTTTTAATCCATTTGTACTTTGTATGTTGGTGTGAAGTATTGCAACTTGAACTAATGTACTTATGTGCCGGGTTCTACTTTGATTTTGTCAGACCGTGTGTATGCGCATAATCCAATTCATCAAAGACTCCCTTATGTCTTGGAAAGCATGCAACGTTGGTTCCCTGCCTTCGGTGTTGAGTAAAGCAAGTGAAAATCTTTAAGAAAACATGAATTTATTCAAGTTTACAGAAAACCTTGGTTTTTAAATTAACTCCATACCCTTAACACCAGGTATCAGTTCAGCATATATTTATCAATCAGCTGCATTTTTACTAAATGTTTGTTTTCCCAAAAAAAGAAAATCAGGACTTTCATGTAAAAGGAATAACGCAGAGAGAAAAACTTCCAATTTACCCGTTAATGGCCTTCTGTACTTATGTGTATTCATATTTAAATTGTGATAACTATTGGGCAGCTAGTACGATTTAGACGGAGTAAAGTGTTTTAGTAATGTGCACCGGAGTATATGACAAAAAGTATTTGATGATTAAAGTATCAATGAAACTAATATCTTTTGATAAGCCAGTTGAAAAAACTTAGTTGATATTTATCACAGACTGGCATCAGTTGGATAACAATTGATAACGTGGGATCACTGGACTTCTGTTCCACCATAATATAGGACTCCTGCAAACCTCAACATTGAATTACCGTCTAGTATTCATGAATAACTTGGTTAGATATGAGCTTTACCGAGGTAATAATCAGAAGTCGTGAATGGTGGTGGGAATCAAGTAGGACATCAAGATGAATACTCAGCGATAGGGTGGATGAAAGTAGCGCTATTTCGTAAATTGACAAAAGTAGGAAAATATGAGTAACCGGATTCCGACCCAGTAGCTGAATGGCAACGTGCTGACAACGAAGCGTGAATGTCTTGGTTCTGAGCCCTGGCATAGCCGCGTATGTGAACTACTGATGTCTTCTATATCAGGCCAAAACGGTTGTATATTGTGCTTAAGTTATCAGTGGTTCTGCAAGTGATGTCAGTTCGTGATGACTACATACCTGAAATTAATAAATCTTTACAAACCTCCAAATTAAAGAAATCAATCGTTCATTTTAAGAGTGACGTCTTTACTGAAACAATCGAGGAAGCCTTCGATCATCAGTGGTCAAATGAAAGAGTCATGTAGTTTTGGTATCTAGAAGAATTTCTATAAACAATAATCATGCACTTTTTTCATGCATCTTAGCCAACCATAAACTTTAATTTCCTGAATAACGAGTACTGCTATTGACTCCACCAATTATCAAACTGAAGTACTTTCAACTTCTTTACTACAAGAAGCTTCAGTATGTTCATTTAATCACCTCCCTTTGAGTTGTTTTGTGAGTTGTATTTGATAATTTTCTTGTATTTGCTAACACCCTATCTGTATGTAGTATCCAACCATGTCTTAAATAAATTTCATTTGACAGATTAGGTAGAATGAACAGATGATTTTGTCAATCTTCAAATTATTTGAAGGTATTTTGACCAATAATCAACTGGATGGTTTGAAAAAACTTGGGTTAGAGTTACCACTCGATCTACATGTTCCTTAATGTAAAAGTTGAAGATAGAGACTAATAAAAGCCCGCATCTGCTTTTTTTTGTCATGTCAATGATTTGGTGTGTTTCATCAGCTAGCAAATTAGTATCATTCTACCGCATATTTCTTGTTGACCATGCTTTTACAATGATACCTTTTTATCATTTTATCTAGTCTGTTAATTGGTTTTCTGTTACCACTGTTTTAAAGTTATGCGGTCTCAAAGTTATACTATTATGTGCCTGCATCTTGCGTGCTATCAAATAAACTGTACTTCAATGGTTGAATTTAGCCACAAGTGCTGCTAACAGTTTCTGCAATAGATTTATCTACTGAAAAATTCGTACAATAAAGGAACCATATCCTGGTGATTCATATTTACCATTAATTAAAAAACCACTTAAGGCAAATAATAAATAATTTAATTTAAATAGAGCAGGAGATGATTATAGTTTTAAAGTGGAAATAAAACTTATTCACTCAGTACTTATTTTACACTTTGAGTATTTCTCGTCTGTTTCACTCACTACTTTCCATTTTAAGTATAAGAACTGGTTTCTGGGTTATAAATTAATATGAATGGTTTTTGTTGAGTGGTTCAATCGATAATTTAAATTACTTTTGCCAATGGTTTTATAAAAAGAAGATGTCTGAACACTTTTCGCTCAACTTAATCTTTTCCCACTAAGCAAAATGTACTTCAGTACTACTACAGTGGAAGATGATCTCATATCACAATGAAAGGGAATTGTGTACTAGTTAGTAATTTGAAATCTGGAACCTGTCGAGCCATCATCAAGCATGATATCACACACAACGATACAAATAGATACAACGGCTTGATGAAGCAAGAATATAATTAATGAGTTTCTGTTTACACCAAATTCATTCAATAAAAATTTTCCATTACCTGTTTCCAATACCTGGTTGTTGTGTTGGAGGGACGAGGAGAAGGATTATAAAGGCCTGGTCTCAAAGATGGACACTGACCTTGAAATAATTGTGGACTGCAATCTATGACAGAAATGCTATCCAACAGATAGCAATATTTCACTGCGAAACTCATCTGGTGAATTAAATGACATGGAATTGTCATCTGTATTTTCAGACTAAATGATTCCACTGAGACAATAAAATTGCTAGCACAACTGAAAGAACAACGAATAATTTATCGTTTTCATCTTCAGCAACACGTCTTAACTATTTGTATAATCCTGCTTATTGACTGAAATTTGATTCTTTTTCTGCGGGTAGCATTTACAAAACCAGAAATATAGCTTCAGTTAACTAAACTTCAAATCTTTCTCTTCAACCACATACACAAGACAAATTCAATGAGTTGAGTTATGTAGAAACT